TGCTTGTATACTTGAGAATTTTCAAGATGCAAAAACCTATAAAATGATAGACACAAAACTCAAACTCAACAAAGATGCTTCAGCCCTTTATCAGATTCTTTTGTTGAGTGTAAGTATCGTTCTACCTTGAAGATGGCTTTTTCCTTTTAAGCTTTTGAGTTTTTATTTGCCAAAATCTTGAGTTTTTGTTTTGTTGGAAGAGACTATATTAAAATGAACACAAACTCCTTGGGACCGCCCATTGGCTGAGAGCCTGCTGTTTAGAAAAGTTGTGCACCTACCACATCAGAAGTGGCAGCTTTTCTAACAGCTGTCTTGTCATCCTTTCACATCGCAGTCTTGCAAGGACCAGGTCCCTTGCAAACTTCTCTTGGTAAGTTCTTGAGAATATGACTGAATTAGTTTGTTGTTTTTCCTTGGATATATTTAGACATGAAAAGTTATTATCCAATGAACAAGCAACCTCATCGCTTCTGATTAGTGGAGTACGCTGCAGCTTCACCAACCTTCTGATACAGACAGCTTTCCAGCTGTACATCACTTTGACCACTGGACGAGTATTCATACTCTGTAGAGGACCAGGTCCCTGCACTTATAAGGAGATCATCAAAACATCAAGGAACATAAGAACTTATCAAATCTCTATAACCTTACCAATAATAGGAAACCAACAAAACTGCACCAAATAGAAATACCTCAATAGATCTCCAAAAGCTCAACAATTCATAGAACTTGCTGGACCCAATCAACATATAATTCTTCACTAAGAATAAACAATCAACAATCTAGAGACTCATAGTGAAATTCTACCAAGAATATGGAGATTCAGAAGTAACCAAACACCCAAATCAACATATAAGACATCAAGTGATTTGGCCCAAAGAAAACCAGGTTGATGAAACCTGGAGTGTTTTGAAACCTTTCCAACCGAGGTCTGTTGAACATGAGACCACCAAGTTTTGATCGAAAATATTGAGGCGATGGTGTTACTGGAAACCTGGTTTGATTCGGAAGCCATACACGCGTCCAACACAGAAACTACCAGAAGTAGTTCTTTGATGCGTGAGACTCAACGCTTATCTGCCGACCACCGGTACTATAGGTCGTAATGAGACGGTCCTCTATAGAACGACTGTGAGATTGAAATCCGAATCCCCAGGTACCTCCTTTGTACCATATCTAACTTACGACAAATATTTTGAGCCAAAGTAATTAGAACGACGCTCTGATACCATGTAAAGATATGTCACCTTAGCCTAACAACCTTAAAAGTTGGGTTAGGAGTGAAGGATTGCGCAAATCCATATAAACAAACTGTTAGTCCATTCCACAACATTGTGGGACTTTAACCCACTTAAACACTACTTTCATGCCAGACCCAATGGCAGCGTGGATGGAGAGCCCATACCGGGGTGTACCTGACTTTGATACCATGTAAAATAAAGAGACAATGGAGAAAATCTCCTTATCGTATTATTCCAAGAGTGAGTTATTTGTTGGTGTACAAGTAAATCTATCCAAGGAAATAAAATCATAAAATCCCTAACTATCTCCACCTATGATTGTATTATGTATATTATGTTAAGAAAGGTATATATACATTATATAAATATATTAAAAACATTAAGTAAAGTGATTATACGAGTTGTATAAATTGACAAAGAAGGAAGGAGAGATCATCTCATTTCTGCACTTTTCTCCATATTTTCCTTCTCACAATCGCACCGACTCTTCTTCATCAACTTTTCCAGATTAGCTTTCACTTTCTTTCTAAATAGTCTTTTTTTTTTTTTTTTAGAATTTTTACTATTTGTGATGTTGGATTTTACTCCTAAATTAGGGTTTTGCTGGTTAGAGTTACACAAATATATTCTGAATCTCCAAAATTGTTGCCGCACTCATGTCAGATCCTCCAAAAATGCATTATTACTTTTGGTGGATCTGAACCGCTCTCTGCAATATTTATGAATTGTCCGACCAACATAGATGTGCTTATATATTAATGGTAATGATTTTGCTCTTAATTAAATTGGATCCACCTCCATTTAGACCATTCTTAGCATCTTCCGTTTCTCAATTGTTAAAAATATCTGCAGGATGTGGTAAGTTAAGCTTCTTCCATTTCCAAGTGTTGTGGATTGATGTTAATCGAAAAGGGTATGTTATTTACTGTTTCATGCTGCTTAAATTACCTGCAAAATGGTTGTATCTTAATTGAGATGGAGAGTTAAAAAAAACAAAAAGAAAACCATTGATTGGCTAATGAATACAATAGAAAACTAAATGACTAGTTCTTTAATATGAGTTCCCATCTTTCCAGTTTCCTACAGAAATAACATAAATAGCTGCCCATTGAAAAAAAATCGTGGGCAGATGTATACCGTACATGTGATATATGTGTATTTGCTAATGAAAATGACCTCACACCGGATCGAGATGAGATTTCTGGACTCCTTATAAGGTTTAGGCAATCCTTTGAGCTAGTTTTTGGAGTGTCAGTCCTAATTTGACAGTATTGACTAGTGGATGTTACATACTTTTGGCTGAGCGGACAAATGTGTAATCTACTCTTTTTTGCTTAGTTTGATAACATGGTAACACTTTTGCTTGATTTCTTTGTTGAACTTTTGTTCTATTAATTCATGTTTTCTAGATTTGTTCTCTTTCATTATGCTTGTAAGTTGTTTCATTCTGTTTATTCTAAGCAAGAGATCTGCTTATATGTCCAGGTAAAAGATTTGGAAGCAAACACCCATCTGTATGGATTGTCAGTGTCATTTTCCAGAAGATCTGGTGGTTGATATTCTATCGAGGTTGCCACTGGAATCACTTTTGCGTTTCAAATGTGTGCGCAAGCACTGGTATGGTCTCATCAAAAGTGCGAGTTTTAAAGAGAAGCATTTTCATCAGAAGTACAATGGTGCCCATTTCCTTGTCTGCGACTTAAAAATAACAATGATCCCACCCATCTTCGTAAAGTTTGTGGTGTTCTTCTTGCTCCCGAAAAAAATAGTTCCGGATGTGACTCCTGAACAAAAGTTCTCCTTCACCTTCCGAATTTATCTGATATCAAGTGTGTTGCTGGCCCAGTTTCTGGCTTATTCTTAGTGCAGGAACAAATTTATAATGACGGTCTCCGCTTGCGTTTATGGAATCCTGCCACCAGAGAGTTTCAGCCTCTGCCTTCTGCGCCTTTTGAGATCGAGCACTTTTTCTCAGATCATTATCATCAATTCGGGTTGGGGTTTGACCTGTTGACTCAAGATTATAAGGTTGTATGGATTCGAGATTATATGGGACATGTCATTTACCCTCATGTCTCTGTCTGTGTCTATTCCTCATGCGACAACTCATATCTTTTTTTAAAAAAAATTATTGGAAGGGATCTCTTATTGAAATGTAATTTTGTTTTAAAAGTAATTAACTAAATAGTTATTTTACTCACAATACATTTTTTAATAATTATTCTTGGTATAAATATTTAGTTTTAAGCTTAAATCTAAGAGCTTTTAAAATAAGCGAATTCATACATGCTACAAGTAGTAACAAATTAAAGAGAGAAGGAAGGAGATACCATCTATCTCGTTTCTGCATTTTTCTCTCAAAATCGCCATCACTTCTTCTGCGTCACTTCTATAAGGTTAGATTTCAGTTTCTTTCGGTAATACTTTTTTTTTTTTTTGAATTTGGTGATGTAGGGTTTTGTTTCTAAATTGTATCCTGCCCAATTTTGACCATTCTTTGCGCCTTTTAAATTTCTAACTTTTAGATCAACATGGGTTGAGGTGCAGTAGTGAGGTTGCTTCACGCTAAAAATTCATTTATTTAGAAATACTTGCAAGATGTGCCAAGTTAAACTTGTTAAATTTTCAAGTGTTGTGGATTGATGTTGTTCGAAAGGGGTGTGCACTTAAGGGGTTGTTTGGTTGCTACTTGGAGTTAATGCATGTATTAGTTTTGCCATGTTTGGTTATTCCATCTTCTGCCTTGCATAAATTATACATATGTTTTCTTCATAACTTATACGTATATTTGGTTTAAACTGGCAATCGAATACTGTACTTGTTATGCTGAATTTTATTTAGAAAGAAGTAGTGAAAACATTTTTTAATTCAGTGCTAATTATTCGTTTCATCCTGAATTATTGACAAAATTTAAAATACCCCTTTACATGACTAATTGAAATACACCCCCGATCTAGCAACATAAGTGAAAAATATACCCCTAAATTCTCGCTAAGTTTAGGTGCTTTCAACACTTCTCTCGGTTTTTATTAAAAGCCCTATGCTCCTACAAGAGTTTGAGACTACTTGCTATGTCATGTGGCAGGTTGGGGTGTATCTAAGTTTAGTTAGTCAACTAGAGGGGTGCTTTTAAGGCTATCAATAGTTTGGGAACGTAAATAATAATTTGTACCCAAGTTTAGGGTGTTTTTAATACTTTTCCCTTTTATTTATAACAACTGAAATGCTACTAAACGTGGTACTAGTTAGGCTGATTTTAGTACATGAATAACTCACCTACTAATCGGACAACCGTTTATTGCTTTATGGTCCGTAAATTACCTGCATAATTTACAATAGAAGTAGTGTAGAAATATTTTTAAAAAATCAAAAAGAGTAAATAAATTGTGACATACTTTAGTTAAAAATATTAATTTTTTCATACACTACAAATAATTTAATGAAAAATCTATCCATGGTAGATGTTGCAATATTTGATTTTTTTTGCACAATAAGAATTCAACCCAATTGAAAAACGGAGTTTTTAGAAAAATAGAAATTGTAACGAAAAAAGAATGGGCAGGAATATATTAGGGACAAGTAGGTTATTTATTGTATTTAGTTTATGTGTGACTTGTTGACTGATGGAATGAACATTTTTAATTTACCAAAAGTAGACGAAGGGCTTTTCAAACAAATACAGTATTAGAATTTTTCATGTTATTTCAATCCCAATACACAGTACATGAAACTTCAAAAGGCAACAATAGGAATAGAATTTTCTTACCTCAAACATTTTATTTTATATATAATGAGTTTTATTTGGTTTCTCACTGTCACGACCCAAAATGAGTCGTGAGTGGCACCCACACTTAACCTTCTAAGTGGGCGAACCAAGAAATCCAAATCCCAACATATATCAATAATTCAACTATGAATAACAACAATAATGCAGAAGCTCAAAACTTATTAAAGTAACCAATCAAATAAACCTCTAAAGTCTAACACTTATTATCCCCAAAATCTGAAATGCATCACATCAAGGACATCTAATCTTCAAATACTAAGTCTAAGAGTATTAAAGACACCAAAATAAATGAATAAAATAGTTTATGTCCGAAAACTAAGGACATCATGTCACGACCAAGAGAATCCAACATGAGCTGGAATGAATAGCTCACCCTGGAACCTGATGTGCTGGAGACTGGCTAGAGCTGAGGACGAGTCGAAGTCACTGATACACTCGCTGCACTCCACAAAAAGAAAACAAAGAAAAACACAAGTAGGGCTCAGTACAGGGCAACATGTACTGAGTAGATATCATCGGCCAACCCAAAATAGAAACTAATATGTAATGAATAATAGTATAAAATCAACTATGACACTTAGCAAAGTGGCAAGCAACAAACAACATGAACAAGTGACAACGGAAGCAAGTACGCAATCAATCACA